TAACCATTCATCTATTTAGGGACATTTTGGTTGTTCCAGTTTTGGGTTATTACAAATCAAGCTGCTATGAACAATCTTGCACAGGTTTTTGTGTACACATAAGATTTCATTTCTCAAAAAAAAAAAAAAAAAAAAAATTCGTTTCCCTGGGATGAATGCCCAGAAGTGCAATTGCCAATTGCTAGGTCATGTGATGAGTATTTTAGTTTCTAAAGAAACTGTCAAATTACTTTCCAGAGCGGCTGTATCACTTTGCATTCCCACTGGCAGTGTATGAGAGATCCAGTTTCTCTGCATCCCCTGTAGCATTTGGTAAAGACCAGTAGTCAGAGGAAAGAAAATAGTTAAAATTTACCATTTTAAAATGGCACCAGTTCTAATATGGGTTTATAGTTGAACTTTAAAGAAGATAACGTCTATGCCATTTTAACAAATAAAAAGTTACATATCTCCTGAACAGAACTGAGGTTACCAGAGGTGGGAAAGGGAGAGGAGGAGGGGGGTTAGCGAGAAATTGATAAATGGCCACAAAAAATTATTACATTGTGTAATTTTGAATATACTAACTATCCTGATTTGAGCATCACATATTGCACACAGATACTGATGTTCAATGTGGTACCCACTGATATGTACAATCAATTATGTTTCAATTAAAAAAAAAAGCCTAAGGCACAGGGAGGTGAAATAAAAAGAAAGTTACAAATCTCCTGAATTCCTTTTAAAAACCTGCATAACCTTAATATCAACGCTTGTTAAATATAATTAAAAAGCAATTATGATTTTTACGACATTATGTAGTTCTATGCATTTGTGCTGGTTTTATTTGTGAATGTTGAATAACCCTAAAGGTTTATGTAAGTTAGTAGGTTTTTTTTTTTTTTTTTGTGGTAAAGCATACATAACAAAAGAATTTCCATTTTAAGCACTTTTAAGCATACAATTGCATGGAACTAATTATATTCACAATGCTGTGTAACCATTACCTCTAAGTTAATACTTCTTTGTTGTATATTTTATTATTAAAAGAAGCCCCCCTTTTTTGTTAATCTATTGAGTACTTTGTTTTTTTTATTTTTTATTTTTTTTTATTATTTTTTTTTCCTTTTTGTCTTTTTTCGTGACCGGCTACAGATCGCAACCCTCAGTGTCGCGCCCGTACCGGACCAGGACCAGCAACGGGATCGCAACCCTCGGTGTTGCACCCGCACCTTGCTCAGCCAGTGAGTGGCCGGTCTGTATGTGGGATCCGAACCCTCGGCGGGAGCGCCACCACACTTCCCAAGCGGCGCACTGTAGCAGTGCGCCACCGGGCCGGCCCTCTATTGAGTACTTTGGACCTTAATTTTCACCTTGATGATTATATTCCCAGACCTACTTTCATTTTCTTTCATTTGCCTGGAATTTTTTTTTTTTCCTTTTTGTCTTTTTTCGTGTCCGGCAATGGATCGCAACCCTCAGTGTCGCACCCATACCAGACCGGGACCGGCAACGGGATCAC